GACACAGAGGACGTGTGGGGAGGGGGCCGTCCCCGCTGAGGGGGCTGAGTGCGGACACAGAGGACGTGTGGGGAGGGGGCCGTCCCCGCTGAGGGGGCTGAGTGCGGACACAGAGGACGTGTGGGGAGGGGGCCGTCCCCGCTGAGGAGGCTGAGTGCAGACACAGAGGACGTGTGGGGAGAAGGGGCTGAGTGCAGACACACAGCAGCAGGAGGCCACCCAGACAAGTGAGAGGTACAAGGACCGCCTAGGCCACAGCCCCTGACTAGACCACTGGGGACCCCTCACTCTGACACCCACTATGGGGTACATAGCGTTCCCAAGGCCACCCTCAGATTCAGTAATTCACTGGGACTCACAGACTGCACTAAAAAGCTGAAAGCTGGAATGCTCTCGTTTACATTTGTCACGGCTAAAGGCTAGAGATTAAAATCCACCAAGGTTACACAGCTCCTAGGGCAGAGTTAGGAAAGTTCCAAACACAGTATGCACCCACACCTCGGCCACCAGGGTCCCTTGCCTGGCTGTAAGCAAGGTAGGGACAGGATCCCAGCACCAGTGCTCCTCCAGCCTGAGCCCTGAGCCCCAGAGAGAACACACTTACAGTGGGCCAGGTCCCTGAACGGGGTGCCCTAGCTGATGAGAGAACACTCACGCGTGGACCAAGTCCCCAATCCTCAGGAGAGCACACTCAGACCTAGGCCAGGCCCCCAAACCCTGGGAGAGCACCCTCAGACATGGGTCAGGTCCCAGAGCCCTGAGAGCACACTCAGACATAGGTCAGATCCCTGAGCCCCGAGAGAGCACACTCAGACGTGGGTCAGGCCCCTGAGCCCCGGGAGAGCACACTCAGACGTGGGTCAGGTCCCCAAGCCCCAGGAGAGCACACTCAGACGTGGGTCAGGTCCCCGAGCCCCGGGAGAGCACACTCAGACGTGGGTCAGGTCCCTGAGCCCTGGGAGAGCACACTCAGACGTGGGCCAGGTCCCCGAGCCCCGGGAGAGCACACTCAGACGTGGGCCAGGTCCCCGAGCCATGGGAGAGCACCCTCAGACGCGGGTCAGGTCCCCGAGCCCCAGGAGAGCACCCTCAGACGTGGGTCAGGCCCCCGAGCCCCAGGAGAGCACACTCAGACATGGGCCAGGCCCCTGAACCTTGGGAGAACACACTCACATGTGATCCAGGTTCCAGGTGCTGAAGAGGACCCTGCTCTCTCTGTTCCCGTAGGGGTTGATGGAGTGTCTTGACAAGCAGTTGTCCATGTCAAAAGGTCCCTGAGGGCCGAGAGACAAAGGGGAGACCAGGAAGGGAGTCTGTCATTTGCTGCCTCCACTGCTGCCAAGTCAGACAGTCTTACAGAGACACAGGCCCTGCAGGAATTGGTCCTGACTAACAGTTTACAGACCTGTGATCTCCAGCCCTCATGCCCCTGTGATCCCTCACTGGCATCCCCACCGCGTGGCAAGTGGAGGCTGGGAAGGCGCAGACATGCCCGGGACAGGGCCAGCTGGTGGTGAGTGATGACCCGTGTGCTCCAAGGCTTCCCGACATTTCCCTACAGTCCCAACACAGAGGCTGGGCCACTCTGCCAGGGCACCATGGCCACTGCTGTTTCCCCTGCCGCCAGCACCCTGGTCATGTGGCACACTCATTCTCTCGTGGACATCTGTGGAATGTAAGCTGAGTGGCACGGCTCTCAGCTGCACCCTGTACTCCAGCACGCCAAAGACCCACAGCTTCTTGCTGCAGTATGGGGCCCACCCCCACACCAAAGCTTAGCCTCCTCCCAGGGCCCCTCCTGACTGGCCCATGGTCCCCAGCACACTAGCTGTGCTCCCTACCCCTGCCTGTTCACATCCCTTTCACCTTCCACGACGCTGGCACCTCCCCAAGGTCAGGGATGACCTCACACAGTGCCTGGTACAGGGGGTGTTCATGCAAGCTCATCTGAAGGTCTGAATGCCAAGTTCACAAGAAGTACTGTTCTGGTCAGAGTCCCTCACCCATGGACGAATCTGCCCAGCAACAAGCTACAAGAGGCCACACCTGCCCCTGCTACCAGAACCTCTTAGTGGTGACAGTGGGGGATGATTCCAGAAAGCTACTGCAGCATGTAAGAGGTGAGAGGTGTCCTCTAGTCCCTCTTCACACTGGGGCAGGATCTGGAGACTCACCAGACCCTGGGACACACCTAACAGCACAGAAGGGGTCCAGGCAGGCAGCCAGAAGGCAGCATGGCCCTTGGGGGCCTCCACCCATCCTCGCAGAGGTCACTGCTTCCATCCAGCCTCTGGACACTCGGCCCCGGGCCCCAGAGGTGATGGCAGCTGCACATGACGTGTTCCTACATCTGTCCACATGTGCAGGGAGCCTGGCCAGATCCTGGGTGTCAGCCTGTGTAACCACTGCTACCCACACGGCAGTCAAGGGTAACTAGTGCCCAGAATGTCACATGTAGCCACAATTCCTGAGATACCCGAACTCCCCATCAGCTAGAAAGCTCAACCAGGGGACAGAATCACTTTCCGGGAGCCCCTGGACTGTCCTCCTGCCATCAGCCCCCCGTGAGTGCTGCTGCCCCTCTACACAAAATGGAAACACACAGGTCTCTGCAGCTGCCCCTCCCTGCCCAGATAGGTGGTTCTCCAAGTAAGGTCCCAGGGCAGGATGTGTGGGAATACAGATTCTCAGGTCCCATTGCCATGGTCTGAATGTGTCCCCCAGAATTCACATGTTCAAATCCTACACCCTATGGTGATGGTGTTAGGAGGAGGGGTCCTTTGAGAGGTGCTGAGATCATAAGGGTGGCCCCCGATGGGGTCAGTGCCCTTGTAAGATGAGACCTGGGAGGCTGTTTGCTCTCCCACCACCTTCACGAGAGAAGCAAGAAGGTCTCTCCACACCCCAGACACCAAAACCAGCTCCAGAGCCATAAGAAACCAGTGAGTGCAGTTTCAGCTGCCCTGCAGCAGTGACCCGTGTGCCAACCCAAGCAGACCTAAGGTGCAGACCAGACCCCAGACACAGGAACCCTGGGCACGGCCTAGACCCCAGACACAGGAGCCCTGGCACAGCCCAGACCCAGACACAGGAGCCCTGGCACAGCCCAAACCCTGGCACAGGAACCCTGGGTACAGCCCAGACTCCAGACACAGGAGCCCTGGGCACGGCCCAGACCCCAGACACAGGAGCCCTGGGCACGGCCCAGACCCCAGACACAGGAGCCCTGGGCATGGCCCAGACCCCAGACACAGGAGCCCTGGAGCAGCCCAGACCCCAGACACAGGAGCCCTGGCGCAGCCTAGCCGCCTGTACAAGCTTCCCAGAACTCGCGGGTGCTTGAGGCCTGAGAACCACAGCTGCAGCTGTCCTTCCCTCACTCAGAATGTGGCGGCTGCACCTCCTCACCAGGCTCTGCCCAGGCAGGACAAGGGCTGAGCATCCTCACCCACCTGGCCCTAGGCCAACGGGTGGTTCCAGGGTAAAGGACACAGCTCACCTGGCAGGAGAACCAGCCTTCCGGTGTACAAAGGCGGCTGCTGGCCTTTGCGCCCCTGTCAAAGTAGCTGCCGTTGTACTGCACGGACTTGAGCTTCTCACACATGGCACCCAGGATCCGCGCGTACTCCTCCTGGGCCTCTGCACCCACCGAGGAGGCAGAAGAGTTCACCTGAGGAGACAGGGAGCACCGGGGCCTGATGAGAGCCCTGAAGCCAGCACTGGGCCCCCACCCCCTCAGCTGCAGGGCTAAGACCCTGCCCCTCTGGTCACAGACACTCTGCCCGGCTGCCTCTCCCCCGGGAACTGCTCTGAGTCCATGACATGGAAAGAACCACAATATAGCCCCCAGGTTGCAGCAGAATTAGAGAAGGTGAGGTCTGTGGCGGCAGCTGTCTCACTGTGGCCAGGTGAGTGGGGGGACAGAAGAGCCGAAACCCATTACACCTGGCAGAAATAGTATGGAGATGAGTCAGGACACCTGCGGTGAGCCAGGTGAGGGAATTCAGGGGGCAGAGACAGTACAAGACCCTGATGAGATGCTAAACAGCAGAGTTGGCAGAACATCGGCGGCTGTACCATAGAGCGGGGTAGACACAGGGACACAACCACATGGGGCAATGTCAGGGCAGGACACGCAGGCCCAGCCCCACAGTGCCCCCCACATGCTAACAGTGCGCTGTGGCACAGCGTGGCGTGACGTGTCACATGTGTAACAAGGAAACCCACCTTCAGATGTGGCAGACAGATAAAGGCAGAGCTCGCCCCACCTTTGGGAAGGGAGGGAGGGAGAGGGGGTCTGCAGGCCAAGGAGCTGGAAGTGGTAACCGTTGCCTACAGGGTTGGCCGTCAGGCCCCTCAGACCTCTGCCAGCACCTGCCAACTCTGATCACAGCTGGACAAATGATGAAGTCAAGCTCTGGGCATCCCCTTCCCCATGAGCCAGAACAGGTGAGGCCGGGTGTGCTCACCCTCCCCACGGGGGCCACAGCTGGCCAATGCAGGATGATGGCAGGACAGTGGTGCCACAGCAGAGTATGTGACTAACATCCTGGAGAACCCCCAAGGCAGGCCAGGCCAGGGGTGGGAACCAGGTGGGACCGGCAGGCCCTTACCACCCGCCCCCAAGGTGCCTACTGAGCACCAGCTTCCAAGCACACACTATGTCCAGTTTTCACCACGAAAATCAAAATTTGGCTCAAGATACGTGGCAGGGTGTAGAGCATCCTCAGAACTTCCTGCCACCCGCAAAGTACAAGATAGCACCCTGCAGAAAACAGAGCCAAAGCCCCCGGCCTCACCCTGCCGCCTGCTACCTCCAGAGCCAAAGCCCCCGGCCTCCCCTGCCGCCTGCTCCCTCCAGAGCCAAAGCCCCCGGCCTCGCCCTGCCGCCTGCTCCCTCCAGAGCCAAAGCCCCCGGCCTCGCCCTGCCGCCTGCTCCCTCCACTCCTGCTGGCTGGCGTTTGCCCACCAGGACACCATCCCTCCTCTCTCTAGTCCTGTCCAAAAGTATCTGAAGGGAATGGCACAGAGCCCAATGCAGTGGGGGGCCCAAGGTCCCCATGTCAACACACCTGGGGACAGGGACACTTCTCCACTGCCCACAGGCAGGCCCCACTCTCCACTCGGCTCCTCACTGGTCATCTGAGCCTATTTCTCTGATGAAAGGAGGCAGAACAGAGGTCACATTGGGGCACTGGACTGAGGACTGATTTCTCCTGGAAGGTGAACAGCAGATTCTGCTGGAATTTCACACTTAACCCTGCATCTGTGTGTGTCTGACACCTCCCCAGAAGGAAGGGGCTGGTATATTTAAGAGGTCAGAGCTCAGACTAGCACTCACTCAAAGTGCCTCCAAAATACATTTAGTGCGGCAAACACCACCCCGAGCCTTCTGTTTCTTCTCAGAGGCTAGATAAGCACCTGTCAAAATCGAGCTACCCAGGACATGAAGATGTGCAAGGCTGGCCTACTACATACAGAAGGAAGAGGAGCCTGGTTCTGGTGGGCGGTGGCAACCCCAAAGGGCAGCCAGACACGGGGAAGACACAAACGCCCTGCTGTCACCTGCAGGAGGCAGCGAAGCAGTAAGCCAGTGCTAGCGCTTCTCTCAGTACACGGTGTGCCCACTGAGCTGTCAGAGCAAGCACAGGCATGGCGGCCGGGCCACCTGCCTGCCCTAAGCCTGCGGCACCGGGCTCTGCACCCGGCTCTGATGCGGCTCAGCCCCGAGCCTGTGGCACCCGGCCCTGACACACTCACCTCTCTCAGGTAGGTCCGGATCCGGCTCTCACAGCTGTACCTCAGGTAGCTACGTTTACTCCGAAACCGGGACTCCAAGCCTGCAGGGAGAAAAAGCAGATGCCCAGAGTCCACGGGGCAGGCCAGGGGCTTCTAGGTCTGTGCCCCGCCTGGCCGGGGCCAAGTGGGACCCCACACGTCGGTCAGATTGCCATTACGACAAGCCTTCCAAGAGTGAGGCGCCCTGTCTCTGTTCAGTGTGTGTGTGTTTGGAAGCACCTCAAGCACCACCGAGGGCTGTGGCTTGGCTGGCCCTCAAGTCCCTTTCCCAAGAGGGTTTCAGTCTCTCAGGGTTGACCGCAGCCCACCGTAAAGGGGAAGGCTACCCCAGAGTCATCTCTAGAAAATGTGGTGTGAGCAGACCACGCCTTCTTCAGCCTGAAGAGGGAAGGACTCCGATACCTGCTAGACAGGGATGAACTCAGGACCCATTCCAGAAGGACAAATGCTGCAGGCCTCGACTCTGGGAGGTCTCAGGGTCAACAGACCACAGAGACGGGCAGTAGAATGGGGTCACCAGGGGTGGTGGGCAGGGGGAGCCAGTGTTCAGTGGTTTCAGAATGAAAAGGTGACAAGTTCCGGAGACAGACAGTGATGACGATTCACAGCAGTGTGACTGTGCACCAAGCCACTGAGCCAGACCCTGAAGAGTGGCTGAGATGGTGAATGTCATGTTGCAGTTAAGAAAAAGGCCCATGAGAGGGCTGCCCCAAACTTTCACCCACCACCTGAGCTCTTGCTGTATATCTTCCCCGCAAGGTTCCCATGGGGCAGGTTCCCATGAGCACCTTTTATTCAGAACCCCTACCCTGAGAAGCCAGATGAGCCCTGCGCTGGGGGGACCTCAGACCTGAAATAGAATCTGACTTCTGGTACCTCCGGTTGCAAGGAAGGCCTCCCCTGCTAGCCCCAGCTGGCCCAGAGACACCTCCAACACACCTTCAAACCATGGCGGGTCCTCTGCCCGGGTCTCGGCTGAGATGTTCTGGCTGACGTTGTGCAGGAGGTCGGCCAGCAGCTTCTGCCTCAGCGGAGCCTGCTCACCAGACAGCAGCTGTCGGGCGGCCCGGATGACCTCCGCATGGGGCTCATGAAACACACGGAGGAAGTGACCGATGTCACTCACATCTGCAGCCAACAGGGGTCAAATAGAAAGGTGTACAGCCCAGTGGAAGACACAAGCTGCCCCCAGCCACAAGAAGAGTCTCTGCCCACATCTCCAGGGACTGCTGGACTCAGACTCAAGGCATTCCCGGGCCCTCATCCCTGTCCTGACACCATCAGCCAGTGACCACCTGTCACCACAGGGTGAAGATGTGCTTTAGAAACCGAACATGTGGGCTCGGCGCCTATAGCTCAACCGGCTAAGGCGCCAGCCACGTACACCTAAGGTGGCGGGTTCGAATCCCCAGCCCAGGCCCGCCAAACAACAATGATGGCTGCAACCAAAAAATAGCCGGGCGTTGTGGCGGGCGCCTGTGGTCCCAGCTACTTGGGAGGCGGAGGCAGGAGACTCGCTTGAGCCCAGGAGTTGGAGGTTGCTGTGAGCTGTGATGCCACGGCATTCTACCCAGGGGGACAGCTTGAGGCTCTATCTCAAAAAAAAAAAAAAAGACCACATTGAGATGTCACCACACGCCAGTCAGAATGACACAGCGATGCTGAGAGCCAGCGAGGGTGTGGGGACCGGGTTCTGTATGTCTCGTGGAAAGGGAAAAACGGCACATCCCCTGAAAAACAGTCTGGGAGTTTCTCTTTTCCAAATAGCTTTATTGAAATAAAATTCCCGTGCCTGCAATTTAAAGGGCATAATTTAATGGGTGTGTTCAGAGTTGTACCACCATCTCCACAGCCAATTTTAGAACATTTTCACCACCTCAGTTAGAAACTTTGTACACTTTAAATACCGATTCCTCTTCCTCTCCCACCACCAGCCCTGAACAGCCACCCATCTACTTTCTGTCTCTGTAGACGGCTCTGGACGTTTCCTACGAAGGGGATCACACTGCATGTGGTCTTTGGCGACTGGCTTCTTTCACTTAGCGTGTTTCCAAACACAATCCCTTTTCCTGGTCACAGAATGCAATTCCTGGTGCCCTTCTGTCGTGCACACCCACCACCCGCTGATCATCTGCTCGTCCATCGTGGAGATTCGGGTCTCCACCTTTTGACTGTTATGAATAGCTACTATAAATACTCCTGTATAAGGTTTTGTGTGGACATGTGCTCTCATTCTTCTTGGGTATATACCTCGGAGTGGAATTGCGGGGTCACGTGGTGATTCTGTTCAATTGTGTGAGGAACCGCCAGACTGTTTTCTACAATGGCTGCCCCGTTTTACCGGGGGGGTGGGGGGGGGTGTCTTGTTCCAATTTCTCCATGTTGTCCCTAAATCTCCTCATTGTTCTAGTGGGTATGGAGGTATATCCCCTTGTGGTTTTGATTTCCTTGATGACTAAATATACTGAATATCTTTTCAGTTGTTTATTGAACATTTAAAAATGGGTTTTTTCTTTTACCATTAAGTCACAAGAATTTTTTTTTTTAAGAAAAAGGGTCTTACTCTGTCATCCAGGCTAGAGGGCAGTGGCACAACCCTAGCTCACTGTAACCTCAATCTCTTGGGCTCAAGCCATCCTGCCCAGCCTCCTGAATAGCTTGGACTACAAGCATATGCCACCACACCGGGCTAATTTGTTTTGTTTTGTTTGCAATTTTTGGCCGGAGCTGGGTTCGAATCCGCCACCTGCGGTATATGGGGCCAGCACCCTACTCCTTTGAGCCACAGGCACTGTCCTTCTTTTTTTTTTTTTTTAGAGACAGAGTCTCACCCTGTCACCCTTGGTAGAGTGCCATGGCATCACAGCTCACAGCAACCTCCAGCTCTTGGGCTTGGATGATTCTCTTGCCTCAGCCTCCCGAGTAGCTGGGACTACGGGCATCTGCCACAACGCCAGGCTATTTTTTTTGTTGTTGCAGCTTTTGTTGTTGCTGCAGCCTGAGTGGCCAGGTTTGAACCCACCACCCTCAGTATATGGGGCTGGTGCCCTACTCACTGAGCCACAGGGGCCACCCAGTTTGTTTTGTTTTATTGCAGACATGGAGTCTTGCTGTATTGCCTAGCATGGTCTCAAACTCCTAGCCTCAAGTGACCTTCCCATTACAGGCATGCTCATGCAACTGCAGGCATGAGCCACTGTGGCTAGTCAAATTATAAGAGCTATGCTGGGCACGGTGGTTCATGTCTGTATTCCCAGCACTTGGGAGGCCAAGGCAGGTGGATTGCCTGAGCTCACAAGTTTGAGACCAGCCTGAGCAAGAGTGAGACCCTCTTAGCCGGGCATTGTGGCAGACACCTGTAATCCCAGCTACTTAGGAGGTTGAGGCAAGAGGATCACTTGAACCCAAGAGTTTGAGGTTGCTGTGAGCTAAGACACCACAGTACTCTACAGAGGGTGACCAAGTGAGATTCTGTCTCAAACAAACAAACAAAAAATTATAGGAGCTCTTTAAATATTCTGATACAAGTTCCTCATCATATACATGATCGGCAAACATTTCCTCCCATTCTGTGGGTTGTCTTTTCATCTTTTTCATGGTGTCCTTTGAAGCACAAAAGTTTTTAATTTTGACCAAGTCTAACTTATCTGTGTTTTTCATTTGTTGCTCATGCTTTTGGTATCACATTTAAGAATCCTCTGCCAAATCCAGGGTGATGAAAGTGTCCCTGCTTTCTTCTAAAAAAAACATTTTAAAAAGGCAACTGACTGAACAACTGGGCTTATGAACAAGAGGTCTAAGGACTTGGCCACTTCCATGCCTCCTTCTTGAGACCTGTGCATAGAGTAAGGGGGTCCCCTTCCCTCCCCGAAACCCAGTGTGCCAGCTTTCCTGCCCACCTCCAAGGTCCTTGCCACTTACAACCCTGCCAGGTCTGGCCCGAGGTGAGCAGCACCAGCTCAGCATTGTCAGGGACGCTAGGGAAGTAGTCTTCCGTTAGCTCTGTGCCGTCCTCGTAAAGACACAACCGGGAGCTGTGCACAGGGAGCTGCGGGGACAGAGGAAGGAAAGGTCTCAGGTAGCCACTCTCCAGGGAGCAAAACAAAGTTTTTCATCCACAGGCCTCACAAACAATCAGAAGGAGCTAGGTGTAAAGAATTCGGCTCAGGAAGTATATGCTACCCTAGCACCCAATACGTCAAAACAAGGACAGCTGACTGTAGGCAGTTCTAAAATATGAACGGTCACATAAAATGTATACCAAGGGGGAACCATTTGCTGAAGGAGTCACTACACAGATTTTTTTTTTTTTTTGAGAGGTGTGTCTCACTATGTTGCCGAGCCTGGTCTTGAACTCCTGGCCTCTGCAATCCTCCTGCTTCAACCTCCTCAATAGCTGAGTCTACAGGCCCACCACCATGCCCAGCCACGGACTTTTTAAAAATACAAGCCTGTTTCCAAAAGTGATGCCTAACTGCTTCCACTAAGCTTGTGAACATCTCACATCAGTGAGCTGACAGCTCCAGGACGCGCCCTGGTTCACCCAGGAGAGCATCTCGTTGAAAACTCACTGCCTCTGGGCGCAAAAGCGTGGCTGGCACAGAGCACTATTAATTTGCTGAGGTCTGGTTCCCTATTACTCCACGTTGGCCAGTTTTCGGTTGTTTTTTTTTTCTCTCATCTCCAATGGCCCTATCTGAAATTTTAGGCATTTTTATGGCAACTCACCACCACCACCACCCCCGACCTACACGCGCACACACACCTAAGCCTAGTACTGGTCTAAGAAAACAAACACAATGAGAAAAAGAGTGATGACTGAAATCCCCAGAGGGATTTGGAGACCACCCTGCCCAACCCCTTTACAAAAGGGGAGAGAAGGGAGGCTGGCAGAGGCGCAACGGCTGTCTCCAGGAGCACGGGGCCCACTAGCGCCTGACACGCCAAGGGCTCCTGGCTCGGTGCAGAGCTGCCCGACACGGAAGGTCAGCAGAGACCAGGCGGTGTCCAGAGTCTCTCCGCCCCCCCGCGCTCTGAACCCCTCTCGGCGAGGGGCCGGTGCTCGGGGGGCCTGCTGCCCAGCGGCGGACGGCACGTGAAAACGGCTCCCGGGGGCTCCCGCTGCGCCGCCCCGCAGCCGCCCCTTTCCCCAACCCTCCGAAGCCCCCCGCGGCCCGGCCTACCTGGAACCGGAGACATCCCTTGCGCAGCACCTCCTGGCAGCTCCTGCCTGCCACCCCGAACTTCCTCGGGCTGCGCAGGGCCCGCAGCTTCACGGTCTTGGGTTTCTGGAGCATTGCAGAAGTCCTTCAGGCACCTGCGTGCCAGCAGCTCTGGCAACCTTCGTCTGGGCTGCAGGGGTCTGCACGGGCCGCGGGAATCTGCAGAAGAGGGGTCTGCAGGGGTTGCACAGGGCAGACGCCGAGCCCAGAAACTACATTACCAACGAGGTCCTTTGAGAAAGCGGAGGGTCGACGAGGGCTCGTACGCAGGCGCTGCCCCTCGGAAACTTTATTACCCAGAAGACCCAGGGAAGCAAAGCCGCGGCGTAGTCTTCCGCGCAGCCGTCGGCCCCGGAAACTGCATTACCCGGAGGGCCAGAGAAGCGGAGATCTCTCGTTGTGCGCAGGCGCTGCAGCGTCTGGGCGGGGTCGCGCACGCGCGGAGGCTCCAGGCCCGGAGCTGGGCTTGGTTGTCATGAGAGCAGCGGCTGAGGCCCGGGCGATGGGCGGAGGCGGCCGGGGCTGCT